CCTTAGTTAAAAATAGATATTCTTCTTAATAAATATTTTACTTACTGTCTTTAGGATATAAAGCTCCCCTGACTGAAACCTTGGTCTTCTGCCCAAAGAGCTTAAAACTACCCCTAGTTCTGTCTTTGCAAACAACATGGGACTGGTTTAAAAAGACTCTCTTTGTTTTCTTTCTTAATGCCTATTATTGGACCGGGGGTTGGGGGGGCGAGTAGAAATCCTTGCTGCTCAAATATTTTATACTATTGAAATACAATGGTGAGTCAGTTTGACTAAAGGGCAGCTTCTCATTTGGTGGATAATTTGGGTAACCTTTGTACTTAACTGATGCAAATTCATAATGAAACGTATCCTGAATGTTTATGAGTTCTTTTCTTTTCCTTGGGTCCATTGCCTAAAATGAGAGCAGGAAAGCAGATGATTTCAATAACTTGCAGAGACCCAAAGAGCACAAGATATTGAAAAAAAGACTTTGTTAGAGTGCTGGAGCAGGTCTTCTTGGGACCTGGCTAAACTATAATTGAAGAGGCATTAGAGGTTACATACTGAGGTAGCTTACAGCTTAATGCGAGGTAGCTTAATGCTGCAGCGAGGCTTCTCACAGAGTCTCTGCCATGGGAGCATATTCACCCAGTGCTTTTCCAGCTGCACTGGCTCCTGGTGGAGTACAGGGTCAGATTTAAGGTGCTGGTTTTGACCTTTAAAGCCCTTCACAGCCTAGGACCCTTGTACCTGCAGGACTGCCTCTCCTGGCAGTGGCGTAGAATGGGGGGTCCAGGGGGGCCGGCCGCACCGGGCGCAACATCTGGGGGGGGCACGCTCGCACTCGCAGCTCTCTGCCCCTACCTAGATCCACGGGTTAGGGGGCGCAAATTACTTGCCTTGCCCCGGGTGCTGACAACCCACGCTACGCCACTGTCTCCTGGTATGCCCCACGGAGGACATTAAGGTCCACATATAGCAACACCCTGTTAGGATATTTCTGTTCCACCTTAAAAGGGAGCAGGCTTTGTGAGTCACAGAGTCTGCGTATTTCCTGTTCACAGGAAGTTTATATTTTGTCTATTGCTTTTGTTTTCTCTCTGTGCCTGAGACATCAATGCAGGCAGTCATGTTTTCTTTGTTCTGACCAACGCTGAATAAAGTTGTAAATAATGCTCTCCTGCGTGCATCTTTCGCTGTGCGAACTCTGCTGATAAAACGTGCACCAGCTCTGGAATGTGGCAAGCTATTTCTGGAGCTCGTGTCGCTAATTGAATGATACTGCGTGTCTACGGGAGATCGATGGATCGTCCGGAATCAACGTGGGGTCATGATGGCTTTTGTCTCCCTGGCAGTATCAACAATACACCCTAGAGGTCCCGGGCCCTAAGGAAGTTAGATTTGCCTCAGCCAGGGCCTTCTCAACACTGGCTCCGGCCTGGTGGAATGCTCTGTCTCATGAGACCAGGGCCCTGTGGGATCTGATTTCTTTCTGCAGGGCCTGTAAGACAGAGTTGTTCCACCTGGCCTTTGGCTTAGAATCAGTTTGATTCCCTCCCCCTCTTTCTTTTTCCTTTCTCCTCCTATGAAGAGACTGCATCCTAATGTTTTAATGTTGTATCTTAATCTTTTAAATTGTATTTTAATCAACTTGTTTTTATCATTGCTTGTTAGCTGCCCTGAGCCTGGTCTTGGCTGGGGAGGGGGGGTATAAATAAAAAATTATTATTATTATTATTATTATTATTATTATTATTACCTAAAGTAGATGTTAGGCCACTGATTGGCTTACTTATTTAAAAGGTAAACAAACACTTTCCAACACCAGTGACCCTGTGTCCTGTAACAGAATGCATACCAACACCCAAATCTGTGCAAGAATGTGTAGAGAAATACAGGGTGTGAAAACACTGAAATGATTTCACAGACAGAGCAGTAATATTCAAGAGACACTGTATCGTAATCATCTGATGAGCTTGCGTCAACCTTCTATGAGCAAAACTCCAAATCTTGTTGATATCTTCCAGCAAATTGAACCTGCCCTAAATATTTTTGGTAGCAAACGACTTACTCCAATAGTCTATGGTGTTGAAATCTGGGGCTCCAATTTGAACTCTGTTAAAGTTTTGGGAACTCTGCAGATCCCCCCCCCCAAAGCTTTCCTCTGTACCATCAGGAGTAGCAGCAGCTCTTCTTCGTACAGAATCTGGGGGAGCCAACAATTAAGGCAAGAGCAGACTGCACTGCGTTAAAAGTATATTTTAAAAATTGCTACTGTGCCTATTGGGTGTTTTCCTGCACTGTGCTATATGGAATTGGGTGATAACCAACTGTAGAAAGCAGTTTGTCAAGGTGTTTTGGACTATTATTATTTTCCAGAACTGCTGAGCTCTTCTTTGACCTTGTGTAAGCCAACGAAAGAATTGGCTCTTTTTGATAGAATCCAGAATCTACAACTAATTAGAAACACCATATTTCCCCCTTGGTATCCTCTCTTGAGAACAGAGCATTTTAGAGTTAGTTACCTGACAAAACTCTTACCAGTTTCCTTAAGAAATGACTTTATTGATCTGTGTTTCCAAGTGATGCCCACTGCAGTCTTGGAGGGCCTCTACAACAAGGTCTTATACACAGATAGACTTAGTATTTGTGGTCAACCCTCAGGTGGAAGGCATTACTCATTATCTGTTAGCCTGTCCCTTATATAGAGATCCAAGAGATTACTTTCTGAAACCCTTGTTCACAGAAGAAAGCAGGCGTAGCCTGGCAGAAATGGTTTGGTTTCTTTTTAGTGACAGTAATACAGTAACTTCGAAACACACAGAGTAGCCCTTTGTGCACAGGCTGGAAAGAAAGAAAGAAAGAAAGAAAGAAAGAAAGAAAGAAAGAAAGAAAGAAGAGGAATAATAATAATAATAATAATAATAATAATAATTTATTTATACCCCGCCCATCTGGCTGGGTTTCTCCAGACACTCCGGGTGGCTTCCAGCAAAACACTAAAATACAATAACCTAAATAGGTTAGTAAGATAGAATAGCTCAAAATTGTTGTGTTGATTCAGAGGTTGGATCTGAAATCATGCTGGAATTGAGTTTGTTGGTGTCTCTGGTAACCTCTCTCTCTTACATCATGGATGTTGGCAAATTGGATTTTTAAAAGGCAAAATAATACTAGAATTGGAGCTGTCAGAGATGCGCAAGGGAAACTGTTTTAATGCTCAGGAACTTGGCAAAGTATTTTTTATATTATGGATTTTTATAGATGTATGTTCTGCATTATTTTATTAATACATTTGCCTAATACAAGTTTGGCTAGAGCAGTAAACTTACGACCTTGAACTTGAATTTAATTAAAAGGCATGGCAACAACAAAAAATATTTGCAGTTGATCAGTGTGCTACTATTCCTGTACATCAAGTTCATCATGCTGTGTAGCTTAGTCTGGAACTTTTTGCTGTAAACAGCATTGGAGTTTTGGACAGGACAGTCATGTCAAGCACACATAAAAAAATCATTGCTCCAAAGAAAGCGCTTGCCAGGGTGCTTTTGGTTTATGTCTCTGTTGATCTTGAGACACCAATCTGTCCATTTGTAAGACCCACCGGTTTCAGGGCCTCTGGGTTCCTTGGCTGTGTACATATCATTCATTTAAAGCACATGGCTCCCTGCAAAGAATCCCTGGGAATTGCAGTTTACGACTTACAGAGATATAATTCCTAGTATCCTTACCAAACTACAGTTCCCGTGACTTTTGGGGGGGGTGAGAGGGAAGTCGTTTGCTAAATGTATGGTGAGTGTGCCGCTTTTGTCCTTCTAAAACAACATATTAATGTGGCTGCTCTTCTAGAATGCATATCTCTGTAAGTGGTTTTGTGTTTTGAGTGTCATATCCTGCCTTGCTGATTATTGAAAGTGGCTCAAACAAAGGGCAGACAATTAGATTTGCATATGTGTGCATGCCTGCACAAGCAAGCATAGGATGGTGAATGAATGAGTTAGTGAATGAATGAATGAATGAATGAATAAATAAATAAATAAATGGCTGTAATATTGAGGTCACAATAAAATAGACAAAAGCTGCTCTCACATCCACAAATGCTTGTTAATTTGTTTTCTTTAAAATATTTGTTCATGTCAGGTTTTATAATTAAACTATTATCAGTCTGAATAACAGGCCTGGAAGCTAACTGATTACCCTTTTTTTTCAAAGGTCTTAATGCTTCTCCATAGGTAGGGACGCGGGTGGTGCTGTGGTCTAAACCACTGAGCCTCTTGGGCTTGCCAATTGGAAGGTCGGCGGTTCGAATCCCCATGACGGGATGAGCTCCCATTGCTCTGTCCCAGCTCCTGCCAACCAAGCAGTTCAAGGTAAACGGCGTTTCCGGGCACTCTGGCTCCTGTCACAGTATTCCTTGCGCCAGAAGCGGTTTAGTCATGCTGGCCACGTGACCCAGAAAGCTGTCTGTGAACAAATGCCGGCTCCCTCAGCCTGAAAGCGAGATGAGCGCCATAATCCCATAGTCGCCTTTGACGGGACTTAACTGTCCAGGGGTCCTTTACCTTTTTACCTTTCTACAATAGCGAGTTTTCCCCATACCAAGGTTGAGAAATAGACAATCACTACCCCCTACTCCCTCCCTGGAAAAGACCCTGATGTTGGGAAAGATGGAGAGCACAAGGAGAAGGGGACGACAGAGGATGAGATGGTTGGACAGTGTTCACGAAGCTACCAACCTGAGTTTGACCAAACTGCGGGAGGCAGTGGAAGACAGGAGTGCCTGGCGTGCTCTGGTCCATGGGGTCACGAAGAGTCGGCCACGACTAAACGACTAAACAACAACAACACCCCCTACTCCCAATCGGTTAATCATTGTCTGTGTGCTTCTCGGGTGCACTTCTGTGTTCCACTTCCTGATATTGTTCAAACCAGGCTTTGTGACATCCATCCCAGTTTCCATGGTGTTCAATTGTGATGCCCCAAACAATTGCAAAAGCCAAAGCTCTTTCAGTTCCAAGGCTTCTTTTCAAGAAACTTAACATAACTGATACTTCAGTGTGAAGAGACATGCATTTCCTATTATCTCTAGTTTCCTTGGAAATGAAGACTGGACTCATTAGGGTTTTTTGTAAGTGATAGAAAATAGTTGGCGATGAGTGGCGAGAGAGACGAATAGGTGGGGAACTTCTTCATTTTGCACACTCTTACAGAATGTATCCACTTCCTATTTTACACTGGCTTGATACTTCTTATTATTGCTACTGATTAGTGAGGGTTCTATCCTGCTTCCCACGGCCTCAGATATATGGTTTCTATTATCTTTGATGGGAGTCAGAGCATTCTAAAATTACTGGCATACTTGAAAGACCCATATTCTGCACCACCAAGTTCCTTTATTGATTCACTAATGATTCATAAATCAGTACTGAATAGTACTGAATAATCTAAAGCAACGATTTCCAGATGAAAGGTTGAAACCCACCATGGTCAGATGCAGTCATGGCTTGTAAAGGAAAGTCTGACAGAAGTCCACGTTGCTGGTTGTGCCCAGCCAACAAAAGTACCCATGGGCACTGGCAGAGAAAGGGGGGTGCGGTGGGTGCGGTCCGCCCCGGGTGTCATCCCTGAGGGGGGTGTGACATCACCGCGCTGCCCCCTTGCGACATTTGCCCCGCCCCCTAGGATGCTTGCCCCGCCCCCACGTGCACATCATGTATGCCGCTCCAGATGCTGGAGCAGCTAATAATAATAATAACAATAATAATTTATTATTTATACCCCGCCCATCTGGCTGGGTCCCCCCAGCCACTCTGGGCGGCTTCCAACAAAACACTAAAATACAATAACCTATTAAACATTAAAAGTTTCCCTAAACAGGGCTGCCTTCAGATGTCTTCTAAAAGTTTGGTAGTTATTTTTCTCTTTGCCATCTGGTGGGAGGGCGTTCCACAGGGCGGGCGCCACTACCGAGAAGGCCTGGTTCCCTGTAACTTGGCTTCTTGCAGCGAGGGAACCGCCAGAAGGCACTCTGCGCTGGACCTCAGTGTCCGGGCAGAACGATGGGGTGGAGACGCTCCTTCAGGTATACTGGGCAGAGGCCGTTTAGGGCTTTAAAGGCCAGCACCAACACTTTGAATTGTGCTCAGAAACGTACTGGGAGCCAGTGTAGGTCTTTCAAGACCGGTGTTATATGGTCTCGGTGGCCGCTCCCAGTCACCAGTCTAGCTGCCGCATTCTGGGTTAATTGTAGCTCCACAGCTAGCTCCACATCTGCCTATGGGCAGCCAGGCTAATACTCATTTTGATGTTTTTGTCCGGCTCTGACATTGGCACATGCTAGAATGACTGGGTTGCATGTTTGCCAATCCTCTGCCTGGGCAAAGTGCATTGTTTTAATTTCAGCTTAAAATTGTTAAATAAGAAACTGTCTCTGTTCTGACCCCCTTGGCTTATGTACTTTTAAAAAGGTGAATTGTTGGCCTCTGTAACAGGGCTGAGGCTGGAAACGCCCCCCCCCCCAAACCCCCAGTAAATCTCTTGTTAAATATTTTATTTCCTCCTTTTATAAAAGGACCTTTGTATTTGCTGGGTTTTGTTAATCACTGAGACCCAGATGGAGATTTGCAGAAGTAAATGTTATGCCCTTTTCGTGACACATTAAAAAGTAAAGTGCATCCACAGCTGTGACCTTGCCATCCTCGTCAGGGATCAGTTTTCCACATAACAATGGCATCAGTTCTGCCACTGAGCCGTTGGCGTGCTGAGAAGCTGTCTTTTGCTCTGGCAGGAGCTATTATAACCTAAATTTTGCTAAGGCAATGTGGTTCCACTATCTTAGGTATGCTCTCATTTGCAACACTGCAGAAACAGGTGGAATTTGCCCTTTATAGTTAAAGGGACCAAAATGGGAGCCTATTTTGCCTTTTTCAAAAACGTGCTCCTCTCACTGCTGCTGTTCCTGTCCTCTTGAACTACACTACACTTGATCTTAGCCAAAAGGCCGAGAAGTGAATGGCACTACAGTGGTACCTCGGGTTACATACGCTTCAGGTTACATACGCTTCAGGCGGCGCAGTGGCAGCAGGAGGCCCCATTAGCTAAAGTGGTGCTTCAGGTTAAGAACAGTTTCAGGTTAAGAACGGACCTCCGGATCGAATTAAGTACTTAACCCGAGGTACTACTGTACTTAGTGGGAAGAAACTCCAATGAAAATCCTCGTTATTGCATATTTTACATGGCTGTATATTTGTATATATTTTAAAATTTTATATATATGGATGTTTTATGATGGCCTATATTTGTAATGCCTAATAACGGTTTAGCAAAGTAAGTAAATCCTCTTGCACTATATACAGATACATCAGCTATACCTCTTCACAGTATTTGGAATTACAGGAAGTCAGAGAGGGTGTGCCCCCTTACTTATCGTAAGTAAGCTATTGTTTTTAGGAGGGAGGAGGATGCTTTGAATAACTTGGGGTTAGGAGAAATTTGGGTTGGGTCTTGTGGATTTCCATAAGGCCCTTCTGCCTTTCTCCCCATTACTGAAACAGTGCTTTCCCTGCATTGTATATCCTAGTCCATCAAGATCCTGGAAAATGAATACCGGTAAGTTGAATAATGTCTCCTGTGTGAATGCTGAGCTACGGGAATTTCCCACGCTCCATCTGTCACTTAACTATGCAGTGACTGCAGCAACTTTTTCTTGGTGGTTTGGACAAGCACAGGGTGGGGCAGGTGAACATCTCTGTCTCATAACTGCTTTAGAGAAGATGAATGCCTGAAGGAATCCATAGTATAGAACACTTGCTTTGATGCAACATTAGATGCTAATTAATTAGCCAGCATCGTATGATCTCTAGATATTGTGGACTACATTTCCAATCTTTCCTTATTGTTCGCCATGCCGTCTGGTGTTGATGGTTGTACCCTGAAACATCTGGAGGGCATCAATTTGCCTACCACTGGGAGGATACAGTGGTACCTCGGGTTACAGACACTTCAGGTTACAGACTCCGCTAACCCAGAAATCGTACCTCGGGTTAAGAACTTTGCTTCAGGATTAGAACAGAAATCGCACAATGGCAGGGTGGCGGCAGCAGGAGGCCCTATTAGCTAAAGTGGTGTCACAGGTTAAGAACAGCTTCAGGTTAAGAACGGACCTCCAGAATGAATTAAGTTCTTAACCCGAGGTATCACTGTATCTAGTTTGCCTGGGACATTAAATAGTGGAGACTGTGTTGCCGCTAAGGCCCTCAAATTAGCACCCAGAGTGCCAGAGGTAATGAGGGCGATGCCACATAAGTCTGGTGTCTGCGCCTGGACTAACATGTGTGTGCCAGGGCCCTGGGGGCTGATGTTAGTTGCTGCAGCATTCTGCTTGTTGTTTTTAATTAATAGGGGGAAACCTGTTTGCCATGTACATGTTTACAGAAGCTTGTTTATTATTGTTAAGTTGTGGGCGAACATATCACACGACACAGTGATTCTTCAAACGGCTGTTGTTTATTCAGAGGCCAGAACAGAACTGAACTGAATAGCTCAGTCAGCCTGCCTATATAGAGCTCCAGAACAACGTAACTGTAGCAACTTTCTAAAACTATCCAATCACTGAACGTCACTTTCGATCCTTCCTTTGCATACAAACTATCCAATCACTGAACGTCACTTTCGATCCTTCATTTGCATAAATATCTACAGTATCCCCCTCCTGGCCCAGGGTGAGAACTTCAGTACATAACAATTATGTCGACTTCAAAAATATAGCAATGTTAACTGCAACAAACTGGTACTAATTCCCAAGTAAATGTGTTTATCAACAGAGGCGAGCCCCATTTTACCCCTATTGTTAACAATGGTGCCGTGATTTAAGTATGTTTCAAGCGCAAAACTGCACATGCTTTGTCTGTTGCTCTGTGGAACAACAGTGAGGCGTGGGAGGAGAAATGCCCATTGTATGCTTCATAACTGAAGTAATACACATGGCTGTCTAAGGAGGCCTCTGAAATGACCTAGCTGCACCACTGAGAGATCAGTCCTGCTGACGGGAAGCAGATGAGTGCAAGGACTGAGTGATTCTATTGCCGGTCCTTGCTGCTGAGAGATGGCAGCCTATATACCTCATGTTTTACACAAGGTGGCAGTTATCAGGGACCAGGGCTGGCTTCTCTCACTAGCCAAGACAGACAGAGGCAATAGTGGAGGAACATCCCATTGCCTTCACTCCCCCATGCCTGGCACTAGTTTATTTCCTCAGCTTGAAGAGTGCTGCAGCAACATTATTTTACTGAAGTGGTACTGCAGGATTTAGACTGCTGATCTCCCCTGAGTGGACTGGATACACTCTGGTGAGTTTATCTGTTCACATTCGCTGCATTTTGCACCTAATACTTGAGCTTCCTGTCCAACTGGTTGTCTTAACCTAGTACCAGATTTATTCTAATCTTTTCTAGTATTCTTTCCCCCATGGAAAACCTTCAAGGCTATAACCCATTGACTGCTGCTACTCCCGACAAACATCCTTTGAAACAAATAGAGTTTTTGTGGGATCAATATTTGGTAGATTGTGCTTGAAATTCTAAACAATTTGACATTTGAGTGTGGTATTTTGTGTGGTTGGCAATTAGAAATAAGCAGGTTTGTAATATCTCATTGTCTCAACATCTGCTCTCTAGGCTGTGGGGAAGTTTACGTTTTGAAGGTGACACTTCAAAAATTCTTTGTAGGAACAAACTATTTGGCATTTTGGAAAGGCAAGGAACTAGCCTTTGCATTTCTCGTGCTCCCTTGTGCACCATGAGCTACTTTCTTGCCTAATGTGAAACAAATGTACCTATATTCATCTGTCAAATGTTGGAAGGTATGCACCCATTACAGGAATGAATAAAAACACTGCCTGTGCCAAGCAAGTCCCATAACAGCCAATCTTCTTTCATTGCCTGGACTGCGAGACTGGATGGATAACTGAGTGAATTATATATAAGTTTGTGGTGTGAAGAGATTGCCTTGCTCTTTTCCATTCTTCTGGTGCTTGTTTCTTTTTCTTCAGCAATGTTTTCTGGCTAATTTTCAGACTGATGTTTTATCTTATTCCATGTTCTTATTCGTTTTTTAAGAGGCCAAACACCACACCATGGGATATACCCGGGCCTGAAAGCCTGAAGTATTATCCTGTAACAAATGTATGATCTGCGAGGTGTAACTGTGGGGCAGTCATTCTGGGCTTGCCACTTCTCTCTTTAAAGGCGGCAGGAAGGGATACTAGTTTGTCTATGCGCATTAATTTCAGCACATGCATCTTCAAATTTTCCCGTTACTAGGCCTGGAGTATTAGCTGGTTATGTGAATTAATTTACAAGACAGTTGAGCTCTTGCAAAGCCCTCTTTTTTGACCAACCAGCTTAGCTCAACTGCAACATGTGCTGTCCTTGATGCACTGCCCTAAATCATCACTCTGTCATGCCAAATTGTTCCTTAGAGTGTAAACCTGTCAGCAGGACCTGTTTATGGTTTTATTTGCATAGATCCCGGATCCTGCTTAATGAATAATAATACCAGAGGTTTTACGCTCCAGCAGTACAATTTTACAGTTCTTCTGTATCTTCTTGTTTTGTACAGCTTGTATGTAATTGAGGATACAGCATACAAAGATAAAGGAGTGTGGTGACTGTTAACTGAGAATTGGCTTGGGTCTTGCAGCGTAAACTAAAGTTATTTGAGTCAAACAAAACCAGGATTCAAATCAAGCCTTGGTTTTATTCCTTATTCCAGAAATCTCTACCCCACAGAATATGATTGATGTATCTTATGTCAAATAGAAGAACTCCAAAATGTCACTTATATTTGGAATTCTAATTTGGCTACTTTACCAGTAAAGCACATTTGTTCAAGTGTATGCGCGTGCACACACACACACACACACACACACACACACACACACACACTTCACTTCTCCTTAAAGCATAATGCGGTTTTGAGTTTCAAAATAGACTAAAACCATTTATAGCCAATGTAAAAGTATTTTTTTCATTAAGGAAATAACCATGGATGCACAGCCCCATAAGGTTATATAGCTGGCAAGGTTTTGTTTTGTTTTGGGGTGTGTTTTTTTAAATATTAGTTCAGCTGTGGCCCAGTGGATACTTAGGGGGTTAGGGTGTTGGGTCATCTGGCAAGGTTGGACTGGAGACCCTGCTTACATTTGTTCAGTTCTGCCCCTCCTTTTAAGGACTGCAGCTGATTTTCGCCAACTTTCATAGACACCAAGGACTAGCAAGACAGCAGAAGCATATATATGGATAGAACTGCCTGCTGCCTGTGGCAAGGAACAGCTGGGGAGATGTGCAGTCCAAGGCCAGAATAGGAGGGAAGAGTGCAAATGAGGATTAAGTTGCATTGGTAGAACAGTGTGCCTCTCAGCTGGAATACAGCTGCAGGTCAAGACTGTGGAATATTGCCAAGCTGCAAGGGGAGCATATATCTCAGCGAGAAAGAAGTGTTGCAGGTCAGAATTGAGATTCATTAGCAGAGATGCGCAAAGGAAGGTTGTTGACAATCTTGTCTGGCACTAACCCATGCTCTTAAGTCCTCGCTGGCTTGATTTTCAAGGCAGGTTATTTTCCTCATTTTCTTTTTTAAAACAACAACAACACCACCACTGCATCCTAGTTTTAACATTTAGTTTTCCAGTTTTTCCCCTTCTCAATTTGTCCTTTACTTTCTTTTCTTTTCTTTTCCTTTTTTGCTGCTGCTGTTTTGGATTGCCGAAGGAATCCAAGCTAGCACATTCCTTCCTGAAGGCAGAATGAGCACGGCTAGCTTTAGTTCTGTTCCTTTTGCAAATCCCATATATGTTCAGGTAATTGACTCTAAGTAAGATTTATGTTTCTACAGTGGTAGCATAAAAACAAAAGTACAAGCATTAGTTTTGCAGAGGGAAGGATGTAACAAAGCAAGTGTTTACACCATATGCTGCATGCATATTTAGGAGGCTGTAGAGTTTTATGAAGATGAGATATTGTGATGGAACATGTGAATTGGCAGTAGCTCCATTGCTGCAAAGGACACAGCCTGGTTTACGTGGCCAAGCAACTCAGAAGGAAAATTTGCTATGGGAACATCAGGCACCAATTCACCAAGTCAACTCATTCTTATCAAGGATTTTACTCTTCCATTGTGGATTCAGAACATAGGCATTCTAGAGGGAATGTATTATCTCAAAAGGATGATATGGGAAATCTCAGCAAAAGGTCTATATGCCCCCCTTTTTTACAGAACATTTGGCCAACATTCAATTATTAGATTTGGAAGGTTATGGTATTAAACATGGCTGGCATGCATGTCTATGGTATGTTAATAGGAAAAATATAGAGAGAGTTTGGGAGGAGTATAAAAACCTGTTAGAGAGAAAAACACCTTTATGGCTGTGTGTATCTTCATCAGTCCAGAAGCTTCAAAAATCAAGGAAACTTCAAAAACTAGCAAGGCCTGAAGACATTACAAAATATTCAGATTGAGTAACACAATAATACAACATGAGGGTTGGAGATTTCAGTATAATCTCTCTCTCTCTCTCTCTCTCTCACACACACACACACACACACACAGAGAGAGAGAGAGAGAGAGAGAGAGAGAGCTGCTGCTAATCCTGCATCAAGGAGTTATATTTTATACAAAGATGGTGTCACGAAGGATTGAGTGATATAAGTAAATGAATAAATAAATAAATTTAAACAGCAGTTCTTTGAGTATCATCTCCAGCCAAAACAAATAAGCTAAAGGACTTGCATTTTGTGAAGGTGAAGCTTTGGAGAGGGAGATTGCAGACACAGAGGAGTGGAACCAATTACGTAAAAGCTATTTGAAGACTCCTCAGCCCATTGATCTGTTCTTAGTTCTTAGTTGAATCCCACCCCAAGTATTCATAATTTTCAAGCATTGAGCAAATGGGTTAGGCTGCAGTTCAGAGCCCTGATCCATTGTGCTGTTGCTGTTGCTTTGGATGGGGTGGAGGTTTTTCTCTGCCAAGCCCAAAACAGCTTTACTTTAGTGCAGAGGGAACACTACTTTAGTGCAGAGGGAACAAGCGTCACTCTTTGGGCATGGAGCTTCCTGTTCGACACACCAAAAGATGTAGGTAGGTGGCAGCACCGCTGCCGGCATTCCCATGGGTGGTAGTTCAGACGACCCCCAAGCAGCGTGTTCCAGGCTGAGACAGAACCAAATCCACAGGATCCTTGGCTGGTGCCACTGCTAACACTGGCTGCCATCCATGCCTGGTCATTATACCAATTCTAGGCTGATCCCTTGTTGGTGTGAGTGATGCAGCTGCAGATGTGGTAGTGGCTATGCTGCTTCATCATGCCCCGCTGATGCCAGGCTGGGGTTTGGATTTATCTGCCCTCTGGTCTGCTGAGAGCAAAATGAATTACTCTCTAGTAAATGTGCTTAGGATTCAGATGAGAGTCACAGGCTGAAGAAACGGGTCTTCACTAAATTTGACTGATGCATAAGAGACATTTTGAAGTTTACATTTAAGGTGTACGCAAAAGATTATTTATTGGGCCAACTTCCTCTGCTTTCTCCAGGTGAATTCTAGAACTCAATTTAGTATATTATTTTATGAAGTTATATTAATTTTATATTGTATCTGGTGTTGTTTTTACATGAGCCACTTTTGCCATCTATGTAGATTTGAATGTGAGATATAAATGCTTTAAATAAATAAATAAGCAAGGGAAAACATAAATGATATTCTCCTGCCATCCACTGCAAGTTTCTGCCAGTCAAAAATTAATGCTTGGTACCCATTGATTTATACTATTTGTAGGCAGATAGTGGACTACCCTTTTCTGTGCCACATTGACAGCTGGGGATTCAAGTGTATTCCTAGAAGGGTAACTGTATGAATACTGTTTCACAAACACAAGCTGCTTTTCAGTGCCCAAGGCTCAATCTACTTCAAGGTGGTTTGTGGTGATGTGCTGAATTGGGACAGAACACTTATGACTGTTTTGTATGAACACAAGAGCTTGAGGCTTTTTAGTTCATAAAAAGGTGGCTTGAGGGGCACATGGGAGAGAGCAACTAGAGAGAATTGTGTCTCTCTCTTGTAAAAGAGAGAAGTCAGGGTCATCTAGTAAAATGGACTGGAAATAGGTCCAAGACAAACAAAAGAAAGCACTTCACACAGCTTAAATAATCAACAGCATGTGTTGATTGCTGCTAGCTTAGGTAGCTTCTTTTTTTAAAAAAAAAAAAACCCTAGAAAACTGGATGGAGGCTGCATCTATCAATAGTTATTGGTCCTGATATTTAACCTTCCATATACCAAAGCTTTAAACTTGTAAGTATCAGATGCTTTGCATCTGTGGCGTAGTGTGTGCGTACGTGTGGGGGGGACACAGGGTTGGTTTCCCTGGGTGCAAAATTTCAACACCCAGTGGTGCCTCAATACAGCTGTGTGCTTGTGTCACTGGGCTCCATTGAAAATGGCTTCTCTATATGGACCAGGAAATAACCTCTCCAGACAACAGAACGACTCTTCTTTTCTAATCTCAGTAGCTGCAATCTCCTGGGTGACATGGAAGCCATTAGATGTGCATGCATACTCTGTCCATTTCCCTCCCTCCCACCCGCTTCACACAGCCCCGGCACTGGAAACCCATGCTATGCCACTGTTATGGATAAACAATAGGTCAGGGACTTTGTCTTCATGCCAGAGGCATGTAGCTTCCTATTGCTTGGGGGGGAGGGGAATGCTGGGCTAGATAAACCTTGGTTTGATGATGATGATGATTTCAACAGAACATTAAAAACAGAATAAAATTTCACTGCTTATGCAGATGCTCCAAACCAGATTCACCTGTGCTTCACATAACATAGAGCAGCTGTACACACATCTGAAAGTGCCTAGTTTGTGTCTAAGCAGCTCTAGTCAGATTTCAGCAGAGGGACAAGGAGATTTTAGTGATGTGGGTGAGATTCACAGCAAGCTCCAGTAGCTCCTGCTCCTGTATATATTGATAACGAGATGGGATCATGTCCTAGATACACATGTCAATCCTTTTATGTAAGAAAGTGACAGTTTGATAACATTGCTGCAGTTACCATGCGATATAAAAATAAAATAGCTAGCTAAATGCTCCTACAGTACTTTTCCACAACAAGAAAACATGATAGAACCATTGAATTGGCTAGAGACATATGTGCCCCTTAGAAATATTCATCGTACCAGATTTGAAATGTTGTGCGGAATGTCCATCCCTAAATGTGTATGAAATAGGGCTGCCATGTGTCCAGAATTTCCAGGACGTAGACGGGATTTGGCCGTTGGAAACAGTGCCCGGGTGGAAATCGCTTTAACGTCCGGGAAAATAATTTAATAAAAATCTGGACGTATGGCAACCCATGTCGGAAGTGTAGATTTTGGCAAATTTCCATAAAAATAGCTCCAAATTTTTCACTTTGTAAAATATGGCAACCCTAGTATGAAAGCTAATATAGTTGCTTCTTCCTTTTGGCCCACGATTTGTGCTATCTTACATTTTCAGCTGACATTTATTTATTTTTCTTGTAAGGTAAAGGTAAAGGGACCCCTAACCATTAGGTCCAGTCGTGACTGACTCTGGGGTTGCGGCACTCATCTCGCTTTATTGGCCGAGGGAGCCAGCATACAGCTTCTGGGTCATGCGGCCAGCATGACTGAGCCGCTTCTGGCGAACCAGAGCAGTGCACGGAAACGTTG